TAAATCGTATGCGCTGCCTGCATTCCTTCATAGAATATTGATATTGTGAGGTCCTTTTCTTTCTCCGGACCGATGACTCGCTTGAAAAATTCTCCAAAGAAGAATTTCTTTAAGAAAAATATTGTGCAAAATAATTTTGTTAAGAAGGAATTATTGTCTAATGATTGTGGCGAAATTGATTATAAATTCAATACTTATTATTTGCAAAAAATGAATATTAAAAATATTGGAACTACTTTGAAATGGGTTCCAAAATCTATGCTCATTAACAACGAACAACCCAAGAAATGGGTACCAAGATCTTTTCGTTGAGTTTTCTTTTTGTAGGTATGTTTTCAAGAAGCAAATGGTTGCTTTGGACTTCAAATTGAAATTAAATTTTAAAGGAGCAACATTATGGCTTGCTTGAAATACAACGTATTCGGTATCTTTATCCTTGTTGTTATTGAGATTTTATTATGCTTTTGATATAATTTATAGAATTATATATCTTTGATGGGTTAGTGAAGTTGATATCAGTTTCTTGAATTTTATTGTTTATTTGAATCAAATGCCTTTGAGTAAATTGAGAATATCTTTGACACTCATGTCTATTGATTGATTATTTATGGGATTAGTGAATTAATGCTCTTGAGTAAATTGCAAATATTTTTGGCATTAATCTTTTTACTTGATTATTTATGAATTAGTGGATTAATGCTCTTGTATGTAGTAGAATTTGTTGAGATTATCCATAATATTTATTGCTCACTATTTAAAATATTTCATTATATGTTATTGAGAAATTATTGAATATTTATTTTGGCATATTTTACATGATATTCGATTATTGGTTTTTAATATTTATCAAACTTGTTGATTTATGATTTATCAAAATATTGAAATTTTGACGTTAAGATTTATCCAAATTGCTTGATTCTTTGATAAACTTAAAGTCTTGAATTTTTTGTCCATTAGTTGCTTGTTATCCTTGTGTTTTCTTGAAAATTATTGAGGATATTTTGTCTTGATAAATATTGTTATGGATGGTTGATATTTTGTATTGTGAAATATTATTTTTGATAGTTGATGGTTATTGTTTACTCTCTTTAAAGAATTTGTTTGGATGCTTTTTGACCATAAACCATGTGCTCTCTATGAAAATTAATTTCAAAATTTTGCTCTTTGTTGAAAATTGTTTGCTTTGTTGTTTGAAAAGAGTTGGTGAATGCATTTTCATAGAGGGAGTATTTATGAAATATGTTTTTCTAAAATTTTTGTTAGCTTGTTGCTTATAGGTATTTAATTGATTTTTGTGATTTTCTCTATTTGATCGATATTTTTTTGGTGACATAAATCAGAGGGTACTTATAATCAGAAACAATTGGTATCTGTGTTTGCCTATATTTAATTTGTACTACTTTTTAAGTGGTATAAATGACGATATTGTTATTTTGTTGCTAATTGATATGAATGTTGATTGTTCTTTATAAATTTTTTTTAGCATTTGATATTTTTGGTATCTTGATGATATTTTTGGCATATTGATGGTGTTTTAATTCTAGATGTTTATTTTTTTAGATAAGTTGATAACTTTAATTGAGAGCATCTTTTATGTGTATGAATATTTTTGTGCCTAATCGTGAGACTTAAAATTGCTCTCTTAGAATTATACTTGTCTTTATGCCATATTTTATTGAATGAAAATTTTGTGGAATATTTTGATAATTTGTTTAAGATAGATTGATATATCATGACTTGTTTTTAGTATATCTATCTTGTGCAAGTTGTTGGGATAATTTTTTCTTGTATCCATTTATCTCTTTGATATTTATTGATATGTCTTTTTAATAAGAGAATGCGTATCTTTAGGGGGAGTTATAATATTTCATTTGTGAATTTGATGAAATTATTTCTACATATTGTTTTTTATAATTTATATGATTTTTTAAGAATATGTAATGTTGACTAAGGTGATTATGAGTTTAACCAATTAATCTCGCAACGTTGGAGCTTCTAATATAGGTCTATTAGGTCCTCTTGTAAAGTGTAATTAAGAGGATTAAATCTTGGAAGAAATTTGAATTGTTCAAAGTTAATTAAAGGAAATTTGAGTTAATTGTGTATGACATAAATTAATATAATGTATGATGATACATTATAAAACTATATATTATAAGAGAATAACGTGAATTTGATTCATATTAAAACTATAGGTTAAAATTTAATGTAAATTAGATTCATATTAAATACTATAGGCTAGGAGGGAAATGTTATTTGAATATGATTCAAATATTAATTGATTTAATTAAATGTGATTTAATTAAATTATGCTTAATTAATTAATTAAGATTTAATTAATTACTAATTAAATTAAAATAGTTTTAATTTAATTAAATTATTAAATTAAATATATATTTAATTAAATTAATTAACCACTCCCGCGCAGTTTTGATGGGAAGCGGTGAGGTGGAAGGTGGGAGGTTACTCCCACTCCTCTCCCCTCCATTATTCGTAAAAACACAGAAGTGTTGTGTTTTGGGGTTGTTGTTTGCCCGGGTAAAAGTTGCACAGAATAAAAATTCTCCATCTCTCTCATTATCTAGAAAATCCAGTTATCTTCCTTGCATTTTTCCTTTCCAATAAACAAGATCCCACAGTCCGAGTTCTTAATCCTAGATAAAAGTGAGGTAACTTCATGGTGGTGTCCTTACTTGGGTTTGTTGAATGTTAATACGTGTTGGCTCAAATTCTGTACTCGAGGAAGGAGAATTGCTCACGGTCATCAGATGTAAGTCTTTTTCTTCTCAAGAGGCTTAACATCTAATTTAGAATATAAACAATTCTATTTTAAAACCGCTAACATATAGTTTCTAAACCAAGTCGAATTACAAGGGATCATCCCCTATCGCTGGGGATTCGATCCCTTCACCTCCCTTATTTGAAAAAACTTTTTTTTCTCTCTTCTTCTCTCTCTCTTATCTTTTTGTTTCTCTTCCATCTTCCCCCTCTTTCTCCTCCCATTTTTATCTCTTCCTTGCATTATTCTTCCTCTTCCCTTCGATTTTTTAGTTTCTACTCTTATATCTTTCTATCTCCGTCTCAAAAATCTATTTCATAATCGACCCACCATCTCCCTTCTTCTTCTCTTTCTTTTTTTTTTTTTCCGCTTGGGTTTTACAAAACTCCCCTTTCAGATCTTCCAAATCTCACTTTAGAATTTCCAGATCTCGCTTAAGATCTCCCAGTTCTCGCAAATTTGTTATACTAGAGAAAGAAGAAAACGAAAATTTAGGGGGCTAGTGAGATAAAGACATAATTTTTTCTTTCACATAATTTGATTAAATTTTAAATTATGAATGGACGAGGGGGAAAACGAGATTGTAAGGAGAGATTATACACTCATGATTTTTTTTGTCATTAAATTTTATATTTGATACTTTCACATAATTTGATTAAATTTAATATTATGAATGGAATGAGGGGGAAAGCGAGATTGGAGGAGGAGATTATACACTCAACATTTCTTTTGTTCACAAAGTGAATTAAGTTTTAAATTTGAAATCCAATCATGATTAAGACTACCAAGGATTAAATGAGAGATTTATTTCCTATTTCAAATGATTAGTTCAAATAATTACTTTGAAGGGAGTGATAAAAATCAATTAAGAAAACAAATTTGCATTAAATTTCAAATTTGAATTCCAATACCATTCATGACTAAAATTAAGGAGATTGAGGAGGGATTGAGATTCCGTTTCCCTCCATTCTAATTTTTAAAATTTTAATTAAAAAAATATTTTATCTATAGATTATTTGTTAATCATTTTGAATTTGAATTTGACCAAACTGTTTTGAAATTTATTTATTTAGTTCAATTCTGATTTAATCTTGTTTATGATTTCATTTAAATTAACAAATTTATTGTTATTATTATAACTTTTTTTTAGATAAGTGACATTTTATTTCAAAACATTTGAAAGTATTCACTTTATAAATTTGTCTAATTGAATTCATAAACATTTATTAAAAATTAATTTAATGATTTAGGAAATTTATTGATTTTATAAATAGATTTTAAGAAATTAAATTATTGGACAAAATAAATTAATTAATGAGTCCTTAAAATTAATTGTCAATTAAATCGTCTTTCTCGTTCTCCCTGATCTCTCGCTCCACCTCTCTCTACTCTCTCGATCTCGGTTTATTTCTTCTGATCTATTTCTCCTCCCCATATTCGATCAAGATTATCTCCTTCCCAATCGTAGGCTGAACTTCCTCCTCCCCGGAGCCTTCTTCTCCCACGAACGACCTCCCTCGTCGGCTTTGATGCACGTGTCGTAGGCGATTGATGAAGGTCATCAGAATAAAAAAAAAAGAAA